CATATTTGCAGACAAGTATGCACATGCCCCCTGGATATTCTCAGCCCCCAAAGATTCCAGCCTGACTTGCCTGGCTTGCTCTGGACCACTTGGCATGTGATAGCAGCCGCACACATTTGGCAGAGACATTTTTAGAAACTTCCAAGCTATGAATTCACCCTTCCATTTTGGTAAAGCCAGTTATGTGGAAAGCATTTCAAAAGCACAACTTCAAATACACACTGCATTTCCCCTTAATTCTTAGAAAGGCAGAAAAAAAATTACACTCTTTATTTTCCCACAGAGTGTTATCCTGTAATATTTCTGTATTTGCTCATGCTGTCACCAATAACTAAATAATTACAAGTCAAATCAAATAAGTCTTTTCAGCACAGTTACAGTCAGCCATATGTTAAAACTATTTCCATTTTTCCCCTCAAATCTAGTGTTTTATTGCAAACACTAAAAGATGACTTTACTTGAAAGCATAGAGGTAAGTAAATCCTTAGGAAGTGACTCTCATGCTGCACACACCAGGGATGTACCGGGGAGATGCCCACAGTCCCAGACACAGCAACACAGATACCCATCAGGCAGCTGCTCCTGCCCATGGGCTTTCCACCGCCGGCACGTACGAACAGAGACCAAGATCACATCTGTACCCACAGCTCGCTAACCACGTGCTGGCAACACAGCTAAATATCCAACAGCGCTGTCTGGCTCCTGGCATACTGAGGGTCAGCCTCCAGCCATCCTCCCCTTTTCTACAGGTGTTCAGAAAAAGCAAACTGATCTCAGCAGGCTGGGCTCCACAGGCAGGACCTGACACAGGCTCTCACAAACCAGCAAGCTCTTTAATAAATAATGTCTAAATCTGCTGAGGCACCAGAACTGCCCCATCCTCATCCCGAAACAGCTGCACAGCAAAACACCCATCCTCCTTTAAATGGCTTCAGCACCCTTGACCCAGGAAAACACCCATCCTCCTTTAAATGGCTTCAGCGCCCTTGGCCGGGAGGACACAGGTAGTTAACGCTGCTCAGCTGATGAGTTCATTAACACACAGCTGCTTGATTGCTGCCAGCTGCCTGCCTCAGCCCCTGAAAAGGGGGTTTCAGTCCCTTTTTAAGCTCATAGTAGTTCCTTGTTTTAAAGGAGTGCTGTTCTTTGAAAGAAAAAGATTTTCACTAGAGCTGTTTTGTGACAATGAATGCCACTATCAGCTTGCAGGGACCGCATCCGACCCCCACTGCCCAGGGGAGAGGAACAGCCCAGGTTCCAGGAGCACTCCTGTTGGCTTTCACTTCTGTATGAGCCCTCCAGCACAGCCCTGAACACATCTCCAGAACTCTCTTTCTTTCATTCTCCAAGCCCCCCAAACACCTTCTGCAGTCCTGGAGCTCCTGGTCTCAGGAGGGCTCCAAGTCACACCCAAGCCCAGAAGCGCAGAGGGAGCAGAGGCCATCCTCTCCTCACCATCCCCCATAGATCTACTGCACTTGTCAAGGCAAACTTGGAGGATGAAGCACCTAGGAAAACACTGTTCTCTTTCCAATAAATTGGTGTGATACCAGTTTTTACCCTTCACAGCACAACCTCGGGCACGCAGCAGAAGCCAAGACCCTGAGACGCACCATCCTGCACAATTCAAACCCCATCTTCACACTCAGAGGTGGCCACGCAGGCTAGCAGGTTGCCCAAAAGGCAGAAGACACAAACATAAATCCCCCCATAGCCACAGAAGAACTGCCCAGCTTTCCATGCTCCCTGGATAAACATCGCAAGCATTGGACAACAAAGGCCAGACACAACCACCTCCTCTTCCCATAGTACTGTTCCCACATGATTATAAAAAAAACCAGATATAGAGACCTACCTTCAAGCCCAGAAGAAGGTCTGTAGGTGAAGAGGAAGCCAGACACCATGCTGCAGCCTGGAGGGATGATGTTGGAGCGTGCCCACTCAGCTGGCCCCAGCTGTGGGCCATACGGGCTGATTGAGGCATCCCACCCTGCCCAGGGGGGCTCCAAGACACCCACCACCTGCTCCACCCCTGCTCCAGCACCCAGCCACCAAGCCAGGGTGTCTGCTGAGGCATCACTCGGCGTGCTTCACCCCAAAGAGGAAATAACATTTATCTTGCTGTCTCCACTGATTATTGCTTTTCAGGTCCATGGCCCATCAGGAGCCTGGATGGTTTCTGGCTGCCTATGGAAGGAAATGGTTCAGGTGCCAAGCGCTACAGACCAACCTGTTGTGTCCTGGAGAGGGTTTCTACTCTTCCCCTCTCCCAACAGGTCCACTTGTCCTTGATCTTTTTTCACTTATCTCCCTTGTCTCCAAGGACTGTAAATTGATGGTCAGTTTATACAGAGCAGGTAGGTATGTTTACAAAAGGACTAGATTTTTTTTTTAATTAAATCCAGATGCACCAGAAAGCAAATGTCGTAAGGAAAGTCCTTAACAGTTATTTTTTGCTCTCAGAGTGTTCCAGCAGGTCAAGGTCTGAAAGCTAAAATTTCAGTAACAAGATGAAAACAGAGCAAAACCCAAGACATTCAGCAGCAGAGCTCTTATTTTCTCTCAAATTGCTACATTGCAGCCCCCTTCCTAAATGATCATCTCCCAAAAGCCCCCCAAAAAAATTTTACTGAAATTTCTCAGCACTGTAAGAAAGCTGTTACTTTTTTGAAGGTTGATCTACGTTCTGACAGGAGCACATCGCAAAGATAAACCCCGTCAAACTTCCTGCAGGCAGTCGTGCTGCATCACTGCTTACAGCAGAGCTGTCCTCTGCTCAGTGTCCCAGTATCTCGGAGATTAGCAACAACCTATTTTTATAATGCATCCACGTGAGGGAGGAAACACTGAGGCAGCTAGTGTTGGACCACCTGCAGGTACCATGTTTCAGAAAAATGTGACTGTTCTAGAGCTAGCTGAAAAAAATAAAGCAGCACCGCTACAGCTGCCCTAGGAGCAGTAAGTCGTTCATAAAAAGAAAATTTTATTTGACTGCTCTGAAGTTGCATAAAACAGCATGACACTGCTGATCTGGAGAACAGGAACTGCTGCACAGCAATTAATTTGAAATGTATTTATAGTATAAATAATCTTTATATCTTAAATATTGTTTGTATTTAAAGCCATACTTCCCAAGACTAGGGGACAAAGCCCACACTTTATCACCCTTTATGTATTTTTACGCACCCGCGCAGAGGGACACAGGGCCACGAGGGCTCCAGAGAAGGCAGGAGCCTGCTGCTAGAGATGATATGTGTGAATGCCACAGCCAATAATGCTGAGCTGGATGAAACCTGCTCCAATGGGGTCCCAACTTGCAGACTACACTACGCAGTCTGCTCATCAGAAGACTTCTTCCAAAACAAGGCTTTTATATTATGAAAAAGCACATGCGTGTTGACTTTTTGCCATGTCTCTTTTCTTGAGCCAAGTAATTTCTCTTACTCAAATCCAGAAAACGCACACTGTCAATTTATTTCAATCTTTGTGTAAATTCTGCATCTCATGTAAGCCTGCTAGGAAGGCTGCACTGAAATGTGATTAATAAATGATACAGAAAAAGCCACATCCATTCTGTGTAGTCTGAGCATTACAGGACTTCCAGGGCAAGAGAACGCTCCGACTCCCATGCAGCAGTGCCCTCTGCGGGATGTACCAGTCCTAGTGCTGAGGTTTCCCAATCCCTTCTTACTACACCAGGAAGAAAGGCTCAGATTCCAACTCTTCAGGCAGAGCCCTTGATTCTGAACTCGATTACAAATTCCAGCTTTTCTTGTTTACGCACATAGCCATGCGATCACCACCTCAGCTGTCCCGCACACCCATTGGGATTACTACAGCCTACTGCCACTTCTGGATTTAACCAAGCTTGTAGCAGCTGCTCGCAAAAAGGTAAATTCTGACTATTGATAAGATCTAGTAAATGAATATTACAATGACAAGGCAATCCACTGGTCACCTCTTGTCTCTAAATGTACTATTGAGAACTAACTCCAATGGTAACCTAACCCCAAATTTCACATAAAATTCTATACTGCAATTTGCTTGACCCCATATTTCTTAGGATATATGTAGCACTGCCTTTCAAAAAAACATTACTTCTAATTACTAAATTAAGGCAGCATTTAACCATTCTGTGAGAATTTCCTAAACAGAACATCAACTTTACCAGTCAGCTCTGAAGAAGCCATGAAACAATTGCCAAACGGCAAGGCAACATCAGTTTTAAGATCATTGTAGTGCAGTTTTTGGTACTTCAAGGTGCTACATGGAGTGTGGCAGGCTGGTATCTATGTTACTAAAGCAAATCAACTCCCATTACTAACGCAGAAGAGATAGGGAAGGTAATAATTGTAAAAGATTTTACTAACTGAGAAAAGATCAACCGGATGAGCAAGAAAAACTTTCAAACGTACAACTTAGCACTATTTTCCAAATATAAAGTGGAATTTTATAAAGAAAAGAAGCAAAAAGGCTTTTGATTTCAACAGATGGGCTATGTAATTCTCAAATACATTGCATGAATTAAGGGTAACAATTGGGGCTCCTATTTTTGACTTGGTCAGAGCCCTCCGAGACCAGAGGAACAGAGCCAGACTGCATGTGTGCTACGCTCCCAGAAAAAACAATCCCTAAGCAACCACTGCTGTTAAGGACTAAGCAGAACTTTTACACTGGAACTTATTAGGCTCTTTCAATCCATTAGTTTTTTAAACAAAACTCCATTTACACAGATATAATAAATAGTTTATTAACGGAATGTATGTAAGTTTCACTCTTCCATCCTTCCTCTTACTCTCAGCACCTCACATGCAGATGTCAAAGCAGCTTCCAGTCCAAGCCAAGGACGAAAGTTAAATTCCAGGCAAAATGAAGTTGAAAGTTAAGACTGGCATCTTTGAGTGCCTAGTTCCTCAAGGGTTTGACTAGTTCCCCAAACCCACAGGTAAATTGGTGTTTCTTCTTTCCACACCTTGGTCTACCTGCTTCTTCCCAACTTGTGCTCATTTAAGCTCTTCTTAAGCAGGTCGTACGCTGCATGGGGACAGTATAAAGTCATGCCTGCTCTAACACTCTTTTAGCTATTGCAATATCCCTTTATTATTTTATTTAAAAGCCCTACCATCATTATGCCATCTCTTTCTGATCTTCGGTAATAGTTCAGTTTAGCTTTGGAGTTTTACAAAAATGGAAAGAGTCTTTTTTTCAAAATATAGAGCACCGTGGCCAGGAACAAGGCAAGGGCGAGAAAGATGAGCAGCTTGTCCGTCAGTTCCCTGCGATTGTACTTTGTTATTAGCTTTCGCCCCAACTGAATTGTCCCAGACATGGACTTAAATTCTTCATTTGCTTCCAGGATGGTTCGTGAAGAATTGGCTGAAATTAAGGGAAAAAAATAATTCAGCTGATTGTGCTTCAAAAATACATGACAAAGGATATAAGCATGCAACATTTGGCAATACACATAGTGCCTCTGAGATCCTCCTGGGTCAGACTGACTTATGGGTAAGATAAATGCAGACTGTGTTCTTGCAGAATCTCTCACAACTCAGCAGTCCTGATGCACTAAAGAAAAATGGAAAGCAAAATAAGAGTAGTGAATGGCTTAAAGGCCCTCTGTCCTATTTGTGAATTTTTAATTTTTAGGTTACCAGACCAAATCTAATTCACATTTTTTTATTAACAAAGTCAGTGCTACCTGACAGCTCGCTGGAAGCAGAGTGAAATAAGAATGCTGCTAGAACCACCAATTTAGAGAGAGAAATCACCATCACTATCAGCATTAGTTCTAGGGGCAGCAGGACAGACCAACATTTGAATACATTAATTACACAACTGAAACTGTTCTCCTGAGCCAGAGCAGTAAATCAATCAGATGGGTTTGCAGAAAGTGAAAAAGCAGCATGCAGCAATATGAGACCCTTATTACTAAACAAAAGGAAAAGCCCAGGAGTCCCCTTTTTCTTACATTACAGAATGCACACCCAGTACAACAGTGACTGCTGGCATATCACTCTGTACGGAACTCATTGATTAAAGAAAGGCCAAACTTCAAGCATATTGTCTGGTTCACAACACAAGCATAGCAGAAATACATCTGTATATTTTGCAAATCACTATGTCCCATCTTAAAGAGGTGTTTTGATCCAAGTGAAAACAGAAAACTTGTTGTTTCCCATCGTTAATGACAAAGCAGAGCTTCCCCGCTTCACAGCCGCACATATTCACTATGTACTAGGAAAGGACTTGCTCAGAAAAATGGAAATTCTAACTACTGATTCAGAATTTGCAGCTGCGTTTTTGTAAATGACCTTTGATAGTTTTTCCCCTGATGAACTCCAAGTGCTGTTCAGTCAGAAACAGGGTGACAAAGCGTCTGCCAAACTGTCTTTTTAATGGGAGAAGAAACATGCTACTTTTGCATGAACAAACTGTGCCAGCTGCCATCCTCAGACGGGGCAGAAAACAGGGAGGGCAAAAGTTGCATTATTTATCCTCATATTTAAACTGTTCTCTCTTCTGCCCAAAAGCACAGCTCATAAGAGGCCCAGGCAACACAGATCCAACTTCTAAATGCTTCATGAATCACCAGTTCTGACAGGTCAGTTGATTTATTGTCTTAGGAGTCTAGGCCAAAGAACTGGGTGAAATCTTCGTTTCACAGTCCCTGATGCACTGCTGACAGAGCAAGTGACCTCAAGTTCAAGTCACTTGATCTCCTTGTCTCTTAGTCATCCCAGCTGGAGACAGGGTGAACAGAGTCTTCCAGCCGTACTAAGTTTCCTCTGTGCACAGACTTGTACCTATGCTTTCATTTTCTCTGCTATTTCCACATTCATGCCAGGACAGCAGCACAGAGTAACACCAAATGCTCCCAACACCCTGTGAACACACACTGCTTTTGTTTTATGCTTTTATATGAAACCAAAACAAGAGCTCCTCATCCTGTCCCCTTCTCCTTGCTTACTCATAATCATGAAACAGAAACTCAACCAAACAGCTCCACACAACTTCGTTATTATTTTCTGTTTACGTCCAACTGTTAAGAGTTCAGCTGGCTTGTTTTAATTATCACCGTAGTAAGTTCTACGGCAAAGCAGGTTTCCACTATGCTCCACATCATGTCAGTTTGCCTCTCCCCATCTTAACAGAACTGGTGAAAGGTGCTTCAATCATCCAGTCCACACACAAACACACAAATAACATCTGTACCTAGGGTCTGCACAGTCTCCTCACTCTGCTGGACTTGCTGGGACATCATCCTGCTAATGCCCATCAGACTCTCCGTGATGTTACTTGCACTCTCTGCCAGACTTTCCTTTGTGGTCTTCCTGAAAAAGAAAGGGAAAAAGCAAAGCAGGAAGGGATAAAATTATGTCTTTGGGTATGGCAAAATGCTGCTGACAAGGTGCTTGTAACAGAGCTTGGCACCAAACATCTCTACCAATGTACAAATGACACGCACAGTTTTTACTGCATAAGAAATTCAGATTATCTTCACTAAACAATTTAAAAAAAATCACTAAATATTAAAGTCATGAGCCAAAACAACTGCTAGTGGCTCAGAATCTCACAGGGGCCCACATTTCACCCGTTATTAATCCATGACTGTACAACTTCATGAGCTGGCATGGAATCACTGATACAAATTACCACTTCATTATCTTGGGTATCCCATTTGTTGCTTCATGCTACTAAGTAAGCCAACTTTTCAACACAGAAATTACACAAGCTTACATCCAGTTTTGCACGTGAAAACAGCTTGCGTAATGATCCATTACTTGTTTATGACCCTCACTGGAATTAATGTAAAGGATGGTCGTAAAAACTACGACAGCTATCTCATCCCCTTTTCCATGTAAGACATGCCAATGCCAAGAAAACCTTAAATTATCAAAATCCTTAACAGTTCAAATCTCCACAAAAGGTAAATGCACTCATGACAGAAAAGCTATGTTCCAGATCTAATTAAGTAACTTCAAAACATTACATAATTTCCATTTAAAACTAGTGAAAAATCACATATTCTGTTTAAACCTCAGATCATGCAGTGGGATGGTCTAATACCTTTGTCTTAAGGAATCTCTTCCCTGCAGCAGTTGATCTTTCTCAGAGTTGTCGATAGCAATTTTGCAAGCTAGATTTGCCTTTCTCCAAGCTGCCTGATTGCTGAAATCACAAGAGCACAATGTTGTAGTATGACGGTAACCCCTTGCAAGCAAAAACAGTTTTCACAAAGCAATCACCGCTGTAACTGAGCACCCTGGATATGTGCATAGACTTTCTCTACATTAGACCAGGCTGGATGAGGCTTTGAGCAACCTGGGCTAGTGGCAGGGGTGTTGGACCTAGATGATCTTTAAGGTTCTTTCCAACCCAAACCATTCTGTGATTCTATGTTACACCAAAGAATAGCAATATACTGTCCTGTCGTTTCTTCTCCTAAGCGTATGATTTATGGAGCAAGGGAAGAAGAAAACTGTGCCAGCTGTCAAATGACAGACTCTCACGCCACGTACTTACACGCTCAGCTGCTCAAAGGGACAGACATTCAGGGAGTAGGACAGGAGAGAGAAGGGAGCAGGGACTCCTACCCTGCCCATCCCACCCCTGACGAGCTCTGGGGCAAAACCATGCCCAGCATCATGTCAGTGCCCATCTGTGGCTCTGAAAGATGCTGTGGGGAGTCAGACCCCTCTGGTTACAGGGGACCTGCAAACAGCACCGGCTGCCCGACCCACCTGAGCATCTGCTTCTTGTGGTTCTCCACCTCCCGCAGCAAGGCTTGCTTCTCCGACTCCCTGTCTTGCTCCTTCGCCATCTGTTCGAGCTCCTTGGACGCCGAGCAGGAACACCAACACTGGATCAGGAACCGCTGCCACCCGCGCCCCGCACACCTCACCCCGCCC